ATGGGGTTTGTGGTTTAATTGATGGTTTGTTATTGTGGTTTGTGTTTTTGTTTGGTTTTTGAAGAGGGGCTGGTTTGGGGGTTAATTTTATGCGATTAATGATGATGGTTAGTTGTTTTTTTTGTTAGCAGGAAATATAGAGGTAAGTTAGTTAAAAATATGATGATGATGAATGGTTTGTATAATCTAGGCATTTATGGTTTTATTGTTTGATAAAAAAAAATAAAAATCAAGATAAAAAAAAAAAATGATGCGTAAAATGGGATTTAAATGGAAGTCCCTGGTAAATAGTAAAATAATTGGTATGTCCGGCAAGCATTACACTATCTGTTGTCTAGAGGTAGGTAGCGCGCCCTCCATGAATGGGGTCAAAGTGCATCAGTGCCAAGTTTGCGACGACCTTATCCGTTAGACCATGACATTCTGGGTGTTAGGGGATTCATATGCTCGGCGGTCATGTGATGGACATGTCAAGAGGAAGATAACACCTGCTCTGCACTTGAGGGGCTTATTGAAGAGACGCTAAAAAAAACCAAGTGTAGGAGGTCGGTATGCCGGGATAATGAGAGTAGGGAGGAGTATTCAACCGACCACTTGTATCTGTGAAGAGCAAGTAAGAAGGATTTGAGGAGTTCATGTTCCTGAAGTTACAACCACTAGCGCAAAAGAGCAAGTTTAGGAGATGTATGCGCCTGCAGGGCAATAACTTGAAATGCATATATGACGTTGAGTAGCTCGGTTCTCGTGAGAAGCGCGATCAATAGATAACCATGTCCTCTGGCTTGGGTGTTCTTGAAGGCTGTTGGAGAAGGAGATTACCTAGGAGGTGGGCGAATCCTGTAGACTAGGGGAATTCAAAGGTGTACTGGGACATTCCTCGTTCACTGAGTGGGGTCGTATGTATAGCTGATAAGTTGCTGGGTCTTTGGGTAACGCTTGCTGCTTGGCTGTAGGTAGGAGCATTTGGGCTATATGGTACCTGAAACAAGGATGTGCCTGGAGGGTGTTATGGCCGAGTAGAGCTTGTTTTGGAGATAATGTTTGGGTTTATGGTGGAAGAGCATGACATTTAATGTGGATTATCCTACATTTCATGAGCTGTCTGATGGGGCAAAGAGTGTGATGCATTATATACATACCCTAGAATAAAAGAAGAAAATGTACTGGGGGGGGAAGGGGGGGGGGTGGAGTGAGGGATGATCTAGGCGTTCCTGTAGTTAAATTTTATAACAACGGCTTTTCAGGCCGTAGATCTTGGAGAGAAGCCGAGTGGGAATTTATGATAGAATTTGTTTTGTTTTTGGGGGTGTGTTTTGTTCTAGGGGGGTTAGCAGTTGCATCTAATCCTTCTCCTTATTATGGGGTGTTAGGGTTAGTTGTGGCGGCGGTTGCAGGGTGTGGTTGATTGGTAAGTTTGGGGGTTTCTTTTGTTTCTTTGGTGCTTGTTATGGTTTATTTAGGGGGAATGTTAGTGGTGTTTGTTTATTCGGTGTCGTTAGCGGCCGACCCTTATCCGGAGGCTTGGGGTAGTTGAGGTGTTGTTGGTTATGGTTTTGGGATGGGGTTGGTTGTAGTGGTGGGACTTGTTATGGGGGGAGTGTTGGGGCTGTTGGCGGAGGAGGGGACGGTAAATAGTGGGGGTTTGTTGTCAGTTCGGTCGGATTTTAGTGGTGTGGCTGTGTTGTACTCGGAGGGGGTGGGATTGCTCTTAATCGGGGGATGAGGGTTGTTGTTAACTTTGCTTGTGGTGTTGGAGCTTGTGCGGGGGTTGTCTCGGGGGGCGATTCGGGCCGTTTAGTGGGAGGGTCAGGAAGTAGTTTAGTTGAAAATGCCAGCTTTGGGAGTTGGAGAGGAGGGTTTGAGTCCTTTCTTCCTGAGATGGGTAACTCTAAGAAGGGGTTTAGTCTTCAATCTTTGGCTTACAAGACCAATGTTTTTATAAACTATTAGAGTATGTTAAAGTTTGAGTAGTTTATTCTCTAAGGCGGCCGCGAGGGGGAATAGAATTAGGATGATTGTGAAGTATGAGAGTGAGGCTAGTTGGCCGATGATGATGAATGGGTGTTCTACTGGTTGGCTGCCTACTCAAGTTAGGATTAGGACGTTGGCGACTAGGGCTCAGAATAGGATTTGTGATAGGGGACGGAAAGTTATTGATCGTAGTTTTGATGTGTGTAGTAGTGGAGTGAGGAAAAGGACTAGGATTGAGGCGGCTAGGGCTAGTACTCCTCCTAGTTTATTTGGGATGGATCGGAGAATGGCGTAGGCAAATAGGAAGTATCACTCTGGTTTAATGTGGGGTGGAGTGACTAGTGGGTTGGCTGGGGTGAAATTTTCTGGGTCTCCCAGGAGGTTAGGGGAGAATAGGGCTAGTGAGACAAGCAGTGAAAGTATTAGGACAAATCCTAGGATGTCTTTGATGGTGTAGTATGGATGGAAAGGAATTTTGTCGCAGTCTGATGGGATGCCTAGTGGGTTGTTTGAGCCCGTTTCGTGGAGGAATGTTAGGTGGACGAGGGTAAGTCCAACGATGACGAAAGGGAGAAGGAAGTGGAGGGCGAAGAATCGGGTCAGCGTGGGGTTGTCGACGGAAAATCCTCCTCAGGCTCATTCTACTAGTGTTTGTCCGATGTATGGGATGGCTGAGAATAGGTTTGTAATTACGGTAGCGCCTCAGAATGATATTTGTCCTCATGGTAGGACGTATCCGACGAAGGCAGTTGCTATTAGGGTTAGAAGGAGGATAACTCCAACATTTCAGGTTTCTTTGTTTAGGTAAGAGCCGTAGTAGAGGCCTCGGCCGATGTGAAGATAAATGCAGATGAAGAAGAAGGAGGCTCCGTTTGCATGGAGGTTGCGGATGAGTCAGCCGAATTGTACGTCTCGGCATATGTGGGCTACAGAGGCAAAAGCTAGGTTGGTGTCTGCTGTATAGTGTATAGCTAGTAGGAGACCTGTGACAATTTGAGTAATTAAGCAAACGCCTAGTAGGGACCCGAAGTTTCATCATGTTGAAATGTTTGATGGAGCTGGGAGGTCAATTAGGGCGTCGTTAATGATTTTGAGGATTTGATGGTTTTTACGAAGATTGAGGGCCATTGATTATTTCTGAGTGTGGATGTGAGGATGATAAGGATTGATAGGGCGAATGACCCTAAGTAAGCTTTGATTAGGCCTGAGTGAAGGGTAGTGGCAGTTTTGGTTGCTGTCAGTTGTAGGCTGGCTAGTCCTTCTGGGCCTAGTATTTTATATCAGGACAGGTCGATTAGGTGGGAGGCGATGTTTTGTCCTCCTTTAAGGAAATTAGTTATGCTTAGGCGGTGGGTTAGTGGGTTGAAGTATCCTAGGGAGGTTGAGAAGTTAGAGAGAGGGGTTTGTTTTGTTAGGATGAGTGTTTGGGCTATTTTTGAGATTTCTAGGGCTAAGGCAATTCCTAGGGCTGTTACGATCAGGGCGGTTATTTTGATGTGCAGTGGTATAGTTATTGGGGGAGTTTTCGTTGGGATGATGAATGAGGTAATGAGGAAGCCTGCTAGGATGCTTCCTAGTGCAAGGCGGGTGATGGGGGAAGTTACTGCGGGGTTGTTTTCATTTATTGGGGTTAAGGGGGGAATTCGAACGAAGCCGGTCTGTACTAGTACGGTTATACGAATTGTGTACACTGCGGTGAATGATGTAGCTAGGAGGGTTAGTACTAGGGCTCAGGTGTTTAGGTAGGATGTGTTTAAGCTTTCAATGATTTGGTCTTTTGAGTAAAATCCTGCTAGGAATGGTGTTCCTATTAGGGCTAGGTTGCCGATTGTGAGGCATGTGGTTGTTGTGGGGAGTATTTTTTGTAGTCCTCCTATTTTTCGGATGTCTTGTTCTCCATTTAGGTTGTGGATGATGGAGCCTGAACATAGGAAGAGTATGGCTTTAAAGAATGCGTGGGTGGAGATGTGGAGGAAGGCAAGTTCGGGCAGGTTTAGTCCGATTGTTACTATTATTAGGCCTAGTTGGCTGGAGGTGGAGAAGGCAATGATTTTTTTAATGTCGTTTTGAGTTAGAGCGCATGTGGCTGCGAATAGGGTGGAGAGGGCTCCCAGGCAGAGGCATAGGGTTAGGGCAGTTTGGTTGTTGTTGAATAGAGGGTGGGTTCGGATGAGTAGGAAGATTCCTGCTACTACTATTGTGCTGGAATGGAGTAGGGCGGATACGGGGGTCGGTCCTTCTATTGCAGCGGGGAGTCATGGGTGGAGGCCGAATTGGGCGGATTTTCCGGTTGCAGCTAGGATAAGTCCTAGTAATGGTAGTGTGGGGGTTTGGGAGGGGGTGGAAAGTTGTTGGATTTCTCAGGTGTTTGTGGTAGAGGCTAGTCATGCTATGCAGAGGATAAGGCCAATGTCACCGATTCGGTTGTACAGGACGGCTTGTAGGGCGGCGGTGTTGGCTTCTGCTCGGCCGTGTCATCAGCTGATTAGTAGGAAAGACATAATTCCGACCCCTTCTCAGCCGATGAACAGTACAAATAGGTTGTTGGCGATAATTAGGATGAGTATAGCAATTAGGAAGAATAGAAGGTAGGTGAAGAATTTTGTGATGTAAGGGTCTGAGGCTATGTATCATGTCGCGAATTGTAGAATGGATCATGATACAAATAGTGCGATGGGGAAGAAGGTGAGTGTGTAGAAGTCTATTTTTAGGCTGATTGGGATTTTGAAGGTTATGATGAATTTTCATTCTCAGAGGGAGGTGAGGTTTTCTGTTCCGGAGTAGATGAAAATTGTTATGGGAATTAGGCTGATTAGGAATGAGGTTTTGACTGTGTTTGTGATTGTGTCAGGGGTGTTTTTGAGGTTGTTGGATAGTAGTGGGAGTAGGATAGGGGTAGAAAGGGTTGCTAGGGTTAAGAGTATTAATGTGTTTAGGACTAGTGAGAGGTCCATTACTTTCACTTGGATTTGCACCAAGATGAGTGGCTCCTAAGACCATTGGATTACTATTATCCTTTGAAAGTAAGGAGACTGAGGTTTTATACTCAGATGCAAGAGTTAGCAGTTCTCGCTGGTTTAACCTCTCCTCGGCAGGTAAGAAGGGTTTAACTTCTATTTTTAGAGTCACGGTCTAATGTTTTGGTTGAAACTATACTTGCATATAGGGATACCGGAGATCAGTTCGGGTTTGGAGATTAGGAGGATTATTGGAATTATGTGTAGGGCTATTAGGAGGTGTTCTCGTGTGGAGGAGTTTTGGATTGATGTGATGTGGGATGGGATGGGGCCTCGTTGTGTCATTATTAGTATGTATAGGGTGTATGAGGCGGTAAGTAGGATAGCAGCTCCTGTTAGGATGATTGTCAGAGCGGATCAGTTGAAAAGCGCTACTACAATGGTTAGTTCTGCTATGAGGTTTGTTGTTGGGGGAAGAGCCATGTTTGTTAGGTTAGCTAATAATCATCAAGTGGCTATAAGTGGTAGGAGGGGTTGGAGTCCTCGTGTGAGTAGGAGGATTCGACTGTGGGTTCGTTCATAGTTGGTGTTGGCTAAGCAGAATAGTATTGAGGAGGTTAAGCCATGTGAGATTATTAAGATTATTGCTCCTGAGAATGCTCATTGGGTCTGGATTATGGTTGCGGCAATGACAAGTCCTATGTGGCTGACAGATGAGTAGGCAATTAGTGATTTCAGGTCAATTTGGCGTAAGCAAATGGCGCTGGTTATTACTGCTCCTCATAGGGCGAGGGTGATGAAGGGGTAGTGGAGGTTGTTTGATGATGGGTTTACTAGGATTGTGATTCGTATAATGCCGTATCCTCCAAGTTTTAAGAGTAAAGCTGCTAGAAGCATGGAGCCGGCGATTGGGGCCTCTACGTGAGCTTTGGGAAGTCATAGGTGTAAGCCGTATAAGGGGGCTTTAACCATGAAGGCTAGTAGGAGGGCTAGGCTTGCAGTTAGGCTGGATCAAGAGGAGTTTAGTGTTGGGTGTGATAGTTTGAGTATTGGGAGGTATAGTGAGCCGATTTGGTTTTGTAGGTGTAGGATGGCAATTAATAGTGGGAGTGAGCTGGCGAGGGTGTAGAATAGGAGGTAGATGCCAGCGTTTAGGCGTTCTGGTTGGCTTCCTCATCGTGTGATGAGGATGAGCGTGGGAATGAGGGTGGCTTCGAATGCGATGTAGAAGAGCATTAGTTCGGAGGCTGAGAAGGCTAGGAGGATGGATAGTTGGGCTAGGATTAATGTTGAGGCGAAGACTCGTTTACGATTGATGGGTTCTTGTTCTAGGTGATTTTGGCTTGCTATGATCATTAGAGGAAGGAGCCAGCATGAGAGGACTAGTAGGGGAGAGGAGATTTGGTCGATTGATGTTCATGGGGTTAGGCTTTTGTTTGGGTAGTATGTGGGTGTGAGTCATTGGAGGCTGGCAGTGGCGATTAGTAGGCTATATAGCGTAACGTTGGTTCATAGGTGTTTGCGTGGGGATAGTAGGGCTAGGGGGAGAAGTGTTGCGGTTGGGATGATGATTTTTAGCATTGTAGGAGGTTGAAGTTGTGTAGGTGGTCAGATCCGTGGGTGCGAGTTGAGGCTACTAGTAGTGCTAGGCCTGTGCCTGCTTCGCAGGCGGAAAAAGTTAGTATGAGGATAGGTAGGATAGTGGATACTGATGATTGGGTTTGGATGGGTCATATGGCTAGGGCGACGTATATGGATAGTATCATGCTTTCTAAACATAGTAGGGCAGAGATTAGATGGGTTCGGTGGAAGGCTAAGCCTAGGCTGCTTAGGGCGAAGGCTGAGTAGAAGCTTAGGTGGAGGTAGGACATAAAGAAAGTTATAGGGTGGGAGCTATAATTTGTTGAGTCGAAATCAACCGTCTTAGTTAGACTAACTTTCTGTTATTCTGCTCATTCTAGTCCGCCTTGAATTCATTCGTACACTAGACCTAGGGTGAGTAGGAGGATGAGTGTGGCAGTTCAGGTTAGGGTAGTGGTGGGGGATTGTAGTTGGATAGCTCATGGTAGTGGGAGGAGTAGGGCAATTTCTAGGTCGAATAGGAGGAATAGGATAGCTACTAGGAAGAAGCGGATCGAGAAGGGGAGTCGAGCAGATCCTAGGGGGTCGAACCCGCATTCGTACGGGGATAGTTTTTCTGGGTCTGGGGTTATTTGGGCAAGTCAGAAGTTCAGTATGGTTAGTAGGATGCTTAGGGTTAGTGATAGGATTAGTATGAATAGAACTATGTTTATTACTCTTCTCTGGGTTTAAACCAGATTCTAAGGATTGGAAGTCGATTGTAATTAATATACTAGAAGAGTAAGATCCTCATCAGTAGATAGAGATGTAGAGGAATAATCATACGACGTCTACGAAGTGTCAGTATCAAGCGGCTGCTTCAAATCCGAAGTGGTGGTTTGATGTGAAGTGGTATTTGATTAAGCGTAGGAGGCATACTAGTAGGAATGTAGAGCCGATAATTACATGTAGGCCGTGGAATCCAGTGGCAACAAAGAATGTTGAGCCGTAAACTCCGTCAGCGATGGAAAAGGGGGCTTCATAGTATTCTATGGCTTGTAGGGCGGTGAAGTAGAAGCCTAGGAGAACTGTTAGGGATAGGGCTTGAATTGCCTGTTTTCGGTTGGCTTCTGTGATGCTGTGATGGGCTCATGTGACGGTGACTCCTGAGGCTAGGAGGATGGCAGTGTTTAGGAGTGGTACTTCTATAGGGTTGAGGGGTTTAATTCCGACGGGCGGTCATTGTCCCCCTAATTCTGGTGTAGGGGCTAGGCTTGAGTGGAAGAAGGCTCAGAAAAAGCCTAGGAAGAAGAAGGCTTCTGATGTGATAAATAGGGCTATTCCGTATCGTAATCCTTTTTGTACGGTTGGGGTGTGGTGGCCTTGGAATGTGCTCTCTCGTACGATGTCGCGTCATCATTGGAATATGACGAGAATGGTTGATAGTAGGCCTAGAATAAGGAGTCGAGGGGAGTTGTAGTGGAATCATATTGTTAGTCCTGAGGTGGTAAGGAGAGCGGCAGCTGCTCCTAGGATGGGTCATGGGCTGGGATCGACTATGTGGTAGGAATGTGCTTGGTGTGCCATTTGGAATTAGATGTTTTCTTGGAGGTAAAGGCTTAGTAGGAGGACGAAGACGTAGGCCTGGATTATTGCTACTGCTACTTCTAGAATTGTTAATAGGAAGAGGACTACGAAGGTTAGGAGTGAGACTACTGGTATTGTGGAGAATAGGGCTGTTGTGGCTGTGGAGATGAGCTGAATGAGGAGGTGACCTGCTGTCAGGTTGGCTGTTAAGCGCACGCCTAGTGCTAATGGGCGGATGAGAAGGCTTGTTGTTTCGATCAAAATTAGGGCTGGGATTAGTGGGGTGGGTGTGCCTTCTGGCAGGAGATGGCCTAGTGAGGCAGAAGGTTGGTTTCGCAGTCCTGTCAGGAGTGTGGCTAGTCATAGGGGGAAGGCTAGGGCCAAGTTTATAGACAGTTGGGTGGTTGGGGTGAATGTATATGGTAGTAGTCCTAGGAGGTTAATGAGGAGGAGGAAGATTATAAGGGATGTTAAGATTAGGGCTCATTTGTGCCCTTTTTTGTCTAAGGGTATTATTAGTTGTTTTGTAACTAGATTGATGAATCAAAGTTGAAGGGTCGATAGCCGGTTAGTGATTCATCGGTTGTCAAGGGATGGTAGGAGAAGGGCTGGGAATGTTATAGAAATAAGGATTAGTGGGATTCCTAGAAAGGATGGGCTTGAGAATTGGTCGAAGAAGCTTAGGTTCATGGTCAGGCTCAGGGAGTAGTGGTTGGGGCGACAGGTGGTTTGTTAGATGGGGGATTTATCGATACGAATGATAGAAGTTTGGGCTGAATAATTAGAGAGAAAGTGAGTCATGAGGTAAGCATGATAAAAAATCAGGGGCTGGGGTTTAGTTGGGGCATATCATTAAGGAGGGGGAGGGTCCCTCTTTCTTTAGCTTAAAAGGCTAACGCTGGTTCATAGCTTCTTAATGATTAGGATGATATTAGAGAGGATCAGTTTTCGAAATTGGCGAGTGGGGTGGATTCTACCACGATTGGTATGAAGCTGTGGTTGGCTCCGCAGATTTCTGAGCATTGTCCGTAGAATACACCTGGTCGGGAGGCGAAGAAGGAGGTTTGGTTGAGACGTCCTGGGATTGCATCGGTTTTTACACCTAGGCTAGGGACGGCTCATGAGTGGAGGACGTCATCGGCAGTGACGATGACTCGGATGGTTGAGCTTATAGGGACGACAACGCGATGGTCGACTTCTAGTAGGCGGAAGTGGCCTAGAGGTAGGTCTGCTGTTGGGATTATGTAGGAGTCGAATGTTAGGTCTTTAAGGTCGGTGTATTCGTAGGTTCAATATCATTGGTGGCCGATGGCTTTTAAGGTTAGGTCGGGTTCGTTGATTTCATCCATCATGTAAAGGATTCGTAGAGATGGTAGGGCTAGTGTGACTAGGACTAGGGCAGGGAGAATTGTTCATACCAGCTCGATTACTTGTGCGTTGACTGTGCTTGATGACAGTTTTTCTGTTAGAGTGTGGGTTAGCAGGTAAAGGACGAGACTGCAGATTGCTAGTGCGATTATTAGGGCGTGGTCGTGGAATCCTATTAGTTCTTCTATAATAGGTGAGGCGGCGTCTTGGAAGTTGAGTTGTGAGTGGTTGGCCATATTTAGGTAGAGATGTGCTGGGTTTTCACCTGCAATTTAGTCTTGACAAGGCTATGTAATTGTTTTACTAACATCTCTTTATGAGAAAGAAGCATAAGTGGTTTATGCGGTTGGCTTGAAACCAACATATGGGGGTTCGACTCCTTCCTTTCTTGGACTTGAACGAAGGCAGGCTCTTCGAAGGTGTGGAATGGGGGTGGGCAGCCGTGGATTCATTCGACGTTAGTGCTTGTTAGTTCTGGTTGTAAGACTTTACGTTTTGATGCGAAGGCTTCTCAGATGATGAATACTAGTATGATTACGGCTGTTAGGGAGATTAGTGAGCCTACTGAGGAGATGGTATTTCATAGTGTGTAGGCGTCTGGGTAGTCTGAGTATCGTCGTGGCATACCAGCTAGGCCTAGGAAATGTTGAGGGAAGAAGGTTAGATTTACACCTACAAACATTACGCCGAAATGTGCTTTAGCTCATGTTGAATGTAGCGTGTATCCAGTGAATAGGGGGAATCAGTGGGTGAAGCCTGCTAGGATTGCAAATACTGCTCCTATGGATAGTACGTAGTGGAAGTGGGCTACTACGTAGTAAGTGTCGTGCAGGGCGATGTCTAGTGAGGAGTTTGCTAAAACGATTCCTGTTAGTCCTCCGATGGTAAATAGGAAGATAAATCCTAGGGCTCATAATATTGGTGGGTCTCATTTGATTGTGCCTCCGTGGAGTGTAGCTAGTCAGCTGAATACTTTGATTCCAGTTGGGATGGCAATGATTATAGTGGCGGATGTGAAGTATGCTCGGGTGTCAACGTCCATTCCTACTGTGAATATGTGGTGGGCTCAGACGATAAAGCCTAGGAATCCGATGGATAGTATGGCTCATACTATTCCTATGTAGCCGAATGGTTCTTTTTTGCCCGCATAGTAGGCTACAACGTGGGAGATGATTCCGAATCCTGGGAGGATTAGGATGTAGACTTCTGGGTGGCCAAAGAATCAGAACAAGTGTTGGTATAGTACGGGGTCTCCTCCTCCGGCAGGATCAAAGAATGTGGTGTTAAGGTTGCGGTCTGTGAGAAGTATTGTGATTCCTGCAGCGAGGACTGGGAGAGATAGAAGTAGTAGGACTGCAGTGATCAGTACGGATCAAACGAATAGGGGGGTTTGGTATTGTGAGAGGGCAGGGGGTTTCATGTTGATTGCTGTTGTAATAAAGTTGATTGCCCCTAGGATTGAAGAGATACCGGCTAGATGTAGGGAGAAGATTGCAAGGTCGACTGAGGCTCCGGCGTGAGCTAGGTTGCCTGCTAGTGGAGGGTACACTGTTCAGCCTGTGCCTACGCCTGCTTCAACTGTGGAGGATGCTAGTAGGAGGAGAAATGATGGTGGAAGTAGTCAGAAGCTTATGTTGTTTATTCGTGGGAATGCTATGTCAGGGGCTCCGATTATTAGAGGAACTAGTCAGTTTCCGAATCCTCCGATTATAATTGGTATGACTATGAAGAAGATTATTACGAAAGCATGGGCCGTGACAACTACGTTATAAACTTGATCGTCTCCTAGAAGGGCTCCAGGTTGGCCTAGTTCTGCTCGGATAAGGAGGCTTAGGGCGGTACCTACTATTCCGGCTCATGCACCGAAAATTAGGTATAGGGTACCAATATCTTTGTGATTAGTTGAGAATAATCATCGGTTAATGAATGTCACAGGTAAGATGGCTGAGTGTTTAAGCGTTAGGCTGTAGTCCTTTTTACAGAGGTTCAATTCCTCTTCTTATCGGCCCTGTAGTGAAGTTCATAGTGAGTTGCAAGCTCATTGATGTGCATTGATCATGCGCCGGGGCCTTAGGCAGAGGCCTGTTGGTTAGGGCATATAGCTGTTAACTATAGAATCATGGGATCAAAGCCCATCTGCCTAGAAGATTAGAAGGTCCTAGCTTAATTAAAGCACCTGAGTTGCATTCAGGGGATGCAGGGTAATGGCCTGCGGACTTTAGCAGAAACTAAGAGGGTTTAACTCTTGTTTAAGGCTTTGAAGGCCTTCGGTTTAGGTAATCCTAAGTTTCTTAGACAATAGTGAGGATTATAGGGGAGATGGGGAGGAGTATGATGGACACAGTGGTTAGGATGGCGATTGTGATGTTAGTTGGTTTGTTAGTGCGTCACTGTTTTATGTGGTTCGTAGTATGTGGAGGGAGGGTGATGGTTGTACAATATGCTAGTCGGAGGTAGAAGAATAAGCTTAGTAGGGAGAGAAGGGAGATGAGTGTGGCTGCTGGAGCCATTTCTTGTTTAGTTAGTTCTTGGATGATGAGTCACTTGGGCAGGAAGCCTGTTAGAGGTGGCAGTCCTGCAAGAGAGAGCAGGGTCAGGAGCAGTATTGCATTTAGAGATGGGATTTTAGTTCATGCGGTTATTAGAGTGGATAGTTTTAGTACTTTAATTGTATTTAGAGTGAGGAAGACGGTTGCAGTTATTATGGCGTATAGGTAGAAGTTGAGGAGTGTGAGTTTGGGGTTGTAGATGATAATGATTGCTATTCAGCCCAGGTGAGAGATGGAGGAAAAGGCTAAGATTTTTCGGATCTGTGTTTGGTTAAGGCCTATTCAGCCTCCGAGAGCTGCGGATAGGATGGCTAGGATGGTTAAGAGCGTAGGGTTTAGTGAAGGGGAGGTTATGTATAGTAGTGTGATTGGGGGGAGTTTTATGATAGTAGATAGGAGTAGACCGGTGGTAAGGGGAGAGCCTTGTAGTACTTCTGGGAATCAGAAGTGGAATGGCACTAGTCCAAGTTTTATTGCGATTGCTGAAGTGAGGATCAGGCAGGATGTTGGGTGGGTAAGTTGAGTGATGTCTCATTGTCCTGTGTGTCATGCATTGGTTATGCTGGCGAATAGAACTAGGGCGGAGGCAGCTGCCTGGGTTAAGAAGTATTTAGTGGCAGCTTCAATGGCTCGTGGGTGGTGTGATTTAGAGATTAATGGGAGGATGGCAAGTGTGTTAATTTCAAGGCCGGTTCAAGCTATGATCCAGTGGTTACTTGAGATGGTGATGGTTGTCCCTAGAAGTAGACTAGCGGCGAAGATAAGGCTTGCTTGGGGGTTCATTAGCAGGGGAAGGAGTTGAACCATCATTTTCGGGGTATGGGCCCGATAGCTTGTTTAGCTGACCCTACTAGAAAGTAATATAAAGGGAGTATGGAGGATTTTGATTCCTCTAGTGTAGGTTCGATTCCTGCTTTTCTAACTGAAAGGAAATGAGAGGGCTGGTATACCTCCATGTTCACTTTATCATAGTGACCCTTAGTGTTCAGGCACATTTCCAGTAAGGCCTTAGGTAAGGGGGTAGGCCCGCGTAGCAGATTGGTATGCTGGTGTGTCAAAGACATAGGGCTAGTGTGAGTGGTAAGAAATTTTTTCATAGCAAGTGTATTAATTGGTCGTATCGGAATCGTGGATAGGAGGCACGAATTCATAGGAATCCTGCGGATAAAAGCAGGACTTTTGTGGCTAGAATGACAGGAAATAGCTCTTGAGGGGGGTTAAAGAGGCTTGGGTTAAAGAATAGGATTGTGGTTAATGTATTTATGAGTATAATATTGGCGTATTCGGCTAGAAAGAAAAGTGCAAAGGGACCTGCTGCGTATTCCACGTTGAATCCGGATACCAGTTCGGACTCCCCTTCTGTAAGATCAAAGGGGGCACGGTTGGTCTCAGCCAGAGTAGAGACGTATCACATTATAGCAAGGGGTCAGCAGGAGAAGATAAGGTATAAGGGTTCCTGGGTAATTGCAAGAGTGTTCAGGGTGTAGTTTCCGCTAAGGAGGACTACAGAGAGAAGAATGATGGCTAGGGTCACTTCATAGGAGATTGTTTGGGCTACCGCTCGTAGTGCTCCGATTAGGGCGTACTTGGAGTTGGAGGCTCATCCTGATCATAGGATGGAGTATACGGCTAGGCTTGATATGGCTAATAAGAAAAGTAACCCTAGATTAAGGTCTGCTAAAGAGAATGGGAGGGGTAGTGGGGTTCAGATTGAGAGAGCTAGGAGTAGAGCTAGGATTGGGGTCGCAATGAATAAGACTGGGGAAGATGTTGATGGGCGGATGGGTTCTTTGATGAATAGCTTGACACCGTCTGCCAGGGGTTGGAGCAGTCCATATGGGCCAACGATGTTTGGGCCTTTTCGGCCTTGTATGTAGCTTAAGATTTTGCGTTCTACTAATGTGAGGAAGGCTACTGCAATTAGGATTGGCAGGATATAGGAGAGGGCTATAATGAGGTTGATTAGGAGGGGGTAGTTGGTCATTGGGGAGAAGGTTAAGCTAGGGAGAGGATTTGAACCTCTGAATTAAAGGACTTAAGCCTTTTGCATTTTCCGAGCTCTGCCACGCTAGCTGGTCCTTTTCTTGGACGTGGGGTGGTGTGATAGCCTTTTGTAATTAAGTTGGTTTCATTACTTAAGGCGAAGGCTTGCTTGTGGTATTGGCCTCACTTTTCCTATCCTTTCGTACTGGGAAGAGTTCATCATAGATAGAAACCGACCTGGATTACTCCGGTCTGAACTCAGATCACGTAGGACTGTTAATCGTTGAACAAACGAACCCTTAGTAGCGGCTGCACCACTAGGATGTCCTGATCCAACATCGAGGTCGTAAACCTCCCCGTCGATACGGACTCTCGGGGGAGATTGCGCTGTTATCCCTGGGGTAGCTTGGTCCATTGATCAATTGTATTGGGTCTGGGTGCTATTAGCACGTTGAGAAGTTGCTCTCAGTCTAGAGGTGTGGTCTAATTTTTGGAGGTTTTGTTTTGCTCCAAGGTCGCCCCAACCGAAAAACGCGAACCAGAGTCTTATGTGTCAGTAAACCCAGTGGGTGAGTATGTGTTTTAAGGTGGTTGCTGGTTTTAAAGTTCCACAGGGTCTTCTCGTCTTATGGGTTTATCCCTGCTTTTGTACAGGGAGATCAATTTCACCGATTGCCTGTAAGAGACAGTTAAGACCTCGTTTAGCCATTCATACTAGTCTCGATTTATGGGACAATTGATTGCGCTACCTTTGCACGGTTAGGATACCGCGGCCGTTGAACGTGAGTCACCGGGCAGGCATCACCTTCAATACTTGTTTTGGGTTTGCTGAAGGCTATGTTTTTGGTAAACAGTCGGGCCTTGACGGGTTTGCCTAGTTCCTTTTACAGGTTTTAATCTTTCTTAGTGGACGCTCCTCTGTCGGGTTAACAATGTATTTAATACTCTGCTTGTTTGATTTGTCGTATATTGGGAGTTTGTTAATAATGTACAGATGTAAGCTTGCGTCGTAGAGGGAGGACCCTGGTTACTCATTCTAGCATTAATTCTCCTATTTAAATATAGGTTGGCCTGTTAATGGGGAGGGAGTCATGAGGTTTTTACATTTTTGTGGTGTAGAGCTTTAACGCACTCTTTGTTGATGGCTGCTTGAGGGCCCACAATTCAGTTAAGGGGTTAGTATTTATCCGCTCGTAGAGATTGTATTCTTTTTTAAAGGAGCTGTACCTCCTTTAAATAGCCCTTAATTCGCTTCATTAGGGTTTGGGGGTTTTCCTTGGAGAAGAATTAAGAGTGAACTTAGATTCGTTTCACAGGCAACCAGCTATCACCCAGCTCGATTGGCTTTTCACCTCTACTAACAAGTCATCCCACTCTTTTGCCACAGAGACGGGTTCGCTCAATAATAGCTGCTCGTAAGTAGCTCGCTTGGGTTTCGGGGTGGCAAACTTAAATTCATTTTGCTTGGTTTTTCTTGCTAGACCATGATGCAAAAGGTACAAGGGTTGATCTTTGCTGTTTATAGCTTAGTTTTCATTGCTATTTCATCTTTCCCTTACGGTACGTAGTCTCTATCGCTCCAATGGTGTCTTTTCTATCGCCTATACTGGGACTGGTGAATGCTTTAGTTGGGTTTAGGGTAGTAGCTTTGTTATTCCAGGTCATGTCGATTGGGCTAGAGTTTGGCATCAAGACGATCTGGTATTAGCAGACATTTTTCAGGTGTAAGCTGAATGCTTTTGTTTAAGCTACGTCTTGGTAGCCTAAGTGCACCTTCCGGTACACTTACCTTGTTACGACTTACCTCATCTTTGGCTGAATAGTTTATTAGTTTATGGGTGGAGGGGGCGCCTGCGAGGAGGGTGACGGGCGGTATGTACGTGCCCCAGGGCCGGCTTAAAGAGGGCTCGATTGTCCCACTTTACTGCTAAATCCGCCTTCTAGGGGTTGTTTCATACCCCTTTGCCGTATGTTCTAATTTAGAAAATGTAGCCCATTGCTGCCATTCCATAGGCTATACCTTGACCTGTCTTGTTAGCGTGGTGGGGCTATTGCGCTCACTGTTGGGCTTTCAGGGGAGGTGGGCTGGCGACGGCGGTATGTAGGCTGTTTTGGCAAGGAATGGTCAGGTGTATCGTGGATCATCGATTATAGAACAGGCTCCTCTAGGTGGGTTTGGGGCACCGCCAAGTCCTTAGAGTTTTAAGCGTTAGTGCTCGTAGTTCTCGGGCGGATGCTTTAGTAGGTGTAAGCATCAAGATTTAGGGCCAGGCATAGTGGGGTATCTAATCCCAGTTTGGGCCCTGGCTTTCGTGGAGTTCAATTGATCGTTGTTCTAAGATCTTCTTTGATGTGGAGGTCTTATTGGCATCTTGGGCTTGTGACAGCTTAGTTGCTTTTTAGTCTTAGCTACTTGGATAACATGTGACCACTCTTTACGCCGTTATAAAGTTAATTTGGGTCTCCTGTATGACCGCGGTGGCTGGCACAGGATTTACCAACCCTAATTTGCTATGGCTAAGTCAAGTTTGCACTCATTGCTTAATATTAACTACTGCTGATTACCCGTGGGGGTGTGGCAATTGCAAGGCGTTTTGGGCTACGATTGTGGTGAGCCTGATACCCGCTCCTATCTACCCATATTAGGGTGTCCAGGGCATCTACACCGGAACGCGGATACTTGCATGTATATACCTAGCAAAAACTAACAGTAAGGTTAGGACTAAGTCTTTTGTCCTTGGGTGTGTTTAGCAGCCATCTTGACATCTTCAGTGTCATGCTTTTTATAAGCTACAAGAAC